GGGTCTGCTTGGAAGAGAATAAGGGGGAAGATTTCTTGTTGGCAGGGTGATGGAGGTGAAAGGCAGTGGGCTCTGAGAGAAGGGAGCATCTTTCACCAGGAAGTCTGCTCAGGTCGCTGCAAGCACTTGGCAGGTGGTGTGCTTCCCTGAGATCAGGCATCACTGGTTGCCTGGGATCATGCATCCATAGGTTAACGCCAGATGCTCGCGGCCTTCCTTTTAAAAAATATATCATGCATGCCTCTGTAATAATAATAGAAAAAATTCAAAATCGTTTTACTTATGATGTTGTCATTGTATTCATTTTAAGTATTTTTTAGTGGTTTTGAAAATATACAAACAAAACCTTTGCCAACCAGGAACACTGATTACTTTTTTTTATGGTATATAGCCTTCGCTGGATTCCTTTTCCAAATTATTTGTCACAATAATTATTTGAAAAATTATTTGACATAAATTCAATGTCTCCTAAGCAAAATTTCTTCATTTCCCCAGCTCCTCCATCCCTGGTAACTGCTAACAAATAATTTTTAGTTTTTAAATATTTGTTTCAATGTCAGTGCCCTGTTTTCTTTCTTTAATCATTTTATTGGGGCAGTGCCTTATTTTCACAAGCACCATTTGATGTCAGGTGCAAAAGTCTTGTCAGTCCTCGCAAAGGGCCTAGCAATTTAAACTGATCTTGCAGACTTAAGTCATGTCTAACCTTTTAACAGAAAAAGGAAAAATCGGGCCAAGTTTTAGCAAGTGTCCTGAAAAAGTGGAAATGCAGATCACCAGGTTACATGAAAATTGGGTGTCACCAGCCCAGAGAGACCACAAGAAAGGGGCACTGTGCTAGAAGAAGTCTATCTTACAAGAATGTGCCTCTTTTTTCTCCTTCTCTTCTTCCAGCACGCCCCTGTGAACTCTACTGCCGACCCATAGACGGCCAGTTTTCTGAGAAAATGGGGGATGCTGTCATTGACGGTACCCCTTGCTTTGAAGACAACAACAGCAGAAATGTCTGTATTAATGGCATATGTAAGGTATTGGGTATGTTTCTTTAATCTACACCTTTATGAAATCCTGGTTTCATGAATTCAGGGATCCCACGCTTTCGTTTTGGTGGCATTTCACTAGCTCGAGCTGGTGTTCTATGTCCTGTTCGGGAGACGAGCAGGCAGCACTTCCATGGGCTCACCAAAGTCCACTTTGAACGGAAGAGCTTTGTCTGCTTGCTGTCATCTTCATTTCTTGACCTTTTTTGGACGTGCTCTGGGATAGTATAGGCATGGATCAAGGCCGAATTGGAGAGGAATCAAATTAAATCAGAACTTATTAGGATACAGCCACCCGGATTATGTCAGTGGTGTTAAATGATTTATGTTTACTTGCCAACCACCCAGGACCAGTTGCCGTTGATTCCATGCGTGCCAGAATAGAACAATCGATGACTGAAGTAGGTTTCCAAGCCTTACTTCAAAGGCACTACTGAGTGGGCTCAAACCTCTAACTTTTGGGTAGCAGCTGTGCTAGGTTGGGTTCTCTAGAGAAGCAAATCCAGTGATACTTGCCCGTGTTTGTACATAGAAAGAGAAATCGCTGGCAGTTATAAAAGTAGGTAGGTCCTGTCTGGTGCGTGTCAGGTTTGTCCTGACTTGTGTAGCTCTGGACACTGATGATGATGAATCAGGCTGAGAGCTGGGGAAGTGGAGGGGGGGAGGGGGGAGAGGGGGAGATGGGGACACACAGGCTGGTGGATGAAGAGGTAAATGAATCTGCGGTTGGCTGAATGAATCCAAGGTCAGCAGTCCGCTGAGGGCTCCTGGGATCACAGGCAATGCAACAGGAGATGGAGGAGCCAGATGCAGTACCCAGCTCCAGCAAAAGGCTAAGGGCCAAAGAGAACTCAACTCTGCTCAGTCTCTCTTATGCAAAAGGCCACGCTTCCAAGGAGGTGCCATCAGGCTGCAACCT